TGGGTGGGTGTGAAAGGAAAGGGTTGAAGAGTTTCCAGGGGATTGGCCATATTTCCTGACTGGGGGGGGGGGGGGGGGGGGGGCGGGAGATGGGAAAAGTAGTTTAGGATCTCTGCACCAACCAGAAGGTGTTTTATAATTCAATTAAAAGCAAAGATCAACCTGCCCCACTGTGCCAGCATATCCACTCACCCCTCGTGGGGAGAAGGAAAAACACTGAGGTCGAGGGCGTAACCAGGCCCTCATCTGGGCAGCTGGGCACATGATGGTCTCAATCCTCAAGCCTGGGACCTTCGTGTCTCCCCAGATGTTTGTGGGGTTTTGTTGGAAGGCAAGCAGCAGCACAGGCCAGAGCTTGACCCCTCACAAGCACCTAGCAAGTGCGCTCCTACAGGGCCAAAGACAACCAGTGCAATCTTTAACGACAGCCTGGGAAGAGGTTAAAACAACCCCTTTAATCACGGACCCCCACCGCCTCGCTTCCCTTTTGCCACGTACAGAGTGTGGGGCGTGGCTAGGGGCGTGGCTAAGGCTAGCTGAGGGGCGGGGAAGAGCTTGGTGCAGAGGGGAGGGGCGGGGCCTCGCTCGTGACGCACACGCGAGATCGCTGGCCTTTCCGGCGCGTGACAACAACTACAGCTCCCACAACACCTCGCGGTCGCGCGTCGGTCATCTGTCGTCGCGAGAAGAAGCCGCTGGGGGCGTCTGCGCTGACAAACGGAAGTGTTGGTGACGGTCTGAGATATCACCGCCAAACTGGGAACCGGGGAGATGGCCGAGACTGACCCCAAGACCGTGCAGGATCTCACCTCGGTGGTAAGGGTCGTCTGTGTGGGCCCGAGGCCGTGACATCCGGGGGCGGCGCAGGCAAGGCTCGCGGACCCAGGCGTCTTCTCCGCGGCCGCGGGGGGCCTGGTCTCTGGAGGCAGTGTTTCTAGAGGCTTCGCCTGCTGAGGCCTCCGGCCACCTTGATCCCAGCCCTCCCGGGCCGCTGGGTGTAGGCCCCTGCGCCCGCCGAGGTCCACAGGTTCGTTTACCCTCGCTCACCTGTTCCTGCACCGCACCCCCGGTGACCCCCTGGTCCCCGCCAGCTTCTAGCCCACACCCCCCAGCACTCCGCGCAGCCTACCCTTCAGCGCCTCCCTCACACCCTGATGCCTCCAAGCCCTCAAAAACTACTAAAAGACCCAACGAATTTTTAATGGCAGCAGGGCCCAAACGGGGAAGGGCTTCACCGACCCATCAGCCTAATTTGACAGATGAGGAAACAAACCGGGAGAGGGGAATGCCATGCTGGAGCCCAAGAAGCAGAGTTGGAGCTGGAACCCAGGATCCTAGTCTCCCTCTGGGACCAGTGCTCCTTTCCTCATCCCATGGCGGTGTCTCAGAGTAAGAGTGGGTGTTTCGTTTTGTTGTTTCATAGGTGCAGACACTCCTGCAACAGATGCAAGATAAATTTCAGACCATGTCCGACCAGATCATTGGACGAAATATCCTTTGAATTTGTAGTCAGCCTCTAATGGGTGTTTGCACCCTACTTTCTCGGTAGTGGTGTCAGTGAATGGATGGTGGTTCGGCCAACTTCAGCCAGTCATTTACCAAATTTTTTACTGAGCGTGATGTACCGTATTTTACCCTGTATAATGCTCACTTTTTTTACCCAAAGGTTTAGGGAAAATAAGAGTGCACATTATACATGAGTAGTACAAATTCTGTATGTATATAAATGTTTTTAATTATTTTATTTGTGCTTATGCATTAAAAGTGTAACTCTAGAAAACAATAACGATATCCATATGCAAAATAATATCCTAGAATATGATCATTGGTTTTGTTGGCCTTTTATATTGAATTATAAAATTAAAACCAAAGATTTTTTTCCTGAATGTTTGGGCAAAAAACATGGGTGCACATCATACACGGTAGCGCACAATACACAGCAAAATATTGGGGTGCTTTTCTTGAGGAGCACTGTGTGAAGAGCTGGGGACACGGCTGAGCTAGATGCCCGGCCTACGGGAATTTACAGTCTATCATAATGATGCCTCATATGATTGACTGTTGACTGCGAGCCAAACATTTTATGTGTATCTTTCCTCTGATCATCACCATCACCTGATGAAGGGGTTGTAGTGTTACTTTTATTTAGCGGTCGAAAAAACAGAATCCTAGAACAGTAAAACAACTTGCCCACATCCCATCACTAGTGAAGGATGGGGATGGGATTCATTCCTTCCCCAAGACCCCTGTGCTGCTAACTGCCAGATTACAGCTGTGCCCTGCTTAATGACTTGGATGCATTTTGAGAAATGTGTTGTTGCATGATTTCGTCCTCTTGCAACTATGACAGTGTGTTACAGAAACCTAGAAGGAGTGGCCTGCTACACGCCCCGGCTATCTGGTATACCACTGTCATGTATTTGGTCCACTGTCAACGGAAATGTCATTGTGCAACACATGACTGTCCACAGGAAATGGGAAAACCAGTTTCACTAAGACAGGTGTGTTTAAGGCCAGAGTTTACAGGCCCTGGAGGAAAAGGCTAGACATGGGAGGTGTTGATGTGCTTCGTCTTTAACTCCACCACTTGATGATATGAGTAGTCGCATTGATGACCTGGAGAAAAACATCGCAGACCTCATGACCCAGGCTGGGGTGGAAGAACTGGAAGCGGAAAACAAGATACCTGCTACACAGAAGAGTTGAAGGTGAGGGGAGGGCAGGGTAAGTGTGGTGTGGCATCACTTTGATGGAGCCGTCTTCCCCACTTTTATTCATTGGACCTATGTCCCATTGGTTATCCTTTCGGTGAGGATTTTTAAACTCCTTTTTCTCCCATCCCATTTTTAGCATTTTAATTCCCAATAAAAATAAAGTTCACTGAGAAATTTTAAGTAACTACATTACCAAGCAGAATATACAGTAAAAGACACTGTATTTTTTTAAATTTGGGGGCATGTCCTGGCTGTACCAAATTAAAAGTTATTATGAAATACAAGTTGCTTTGCAAAGTACAAGAAAATAAATAGAGGTTTGAGAGATAAAAGCCTTACATTTGCTGTTATCTTAACAGTAGATTGTGTGATTCAGTGTGTGAGTAAATCACATGGTGGTTTTGTGTGGGTGAGCATCTTTATTCCTATATAGAGAGAATTTAGAAAATATCCTACCAGTCTTAGAAGCTTCTTGTATCTCAAAAATCCATCAAGTGAATGAGAACATCCTCTTGAGAATTGAAGACTTGAGTTACAGGCATGATACAAAGACAGGCGTAGGAGGAGGAAATGGATTCAGAAGTTTCTTTAATAAAAGATTTCCAATTAACTGTATTTCTGCTAGAATGTTGTACACAGAAAATAAGTTTAGTTCAACAGGGGGTTCTGAAAGGGTTTTTAGTTGATAATTCTAAGTGTCATTATTTGTCCTCATGCAGTGAATAATGTTGATGGTTTTTCCTTGTTCAATAGGTTGCTAATATACACTGAAATCCGGAACAGTGGTTTTACAAGCCAGGAGAAGACCAAGTGGCTCTTTGCAACTAATTACTATGTGTAGACAGGTCTGATATTGTAAAGTGTGCATTCTTCTCATCACATACTATATAGTTAGTTGGTAGAGTGACCCCCCGCCCCCTGTTTCTCAAACTTGATAACTTTACATCTTGGATCTTGGTCAGTTGTGCTTTAAATATTAAACACTAAAACTTTGGCGGTTCCTACATAAAATTGTCCAATTTTTTAGTGTATTTTTGTGAAATCATTTCTGTCATTTTTTGTAGTAGTTGCTATTTGATAAAAGTTACTGTGTGATTTTTTTCCTATTAGACACACAGTGTGTTATAACAGAATGTTATAATTAGACTTCGTGAAGTAAGACATTTGTTGAGTTTAGGGTTCTTTAATTGTGAACAGAGTGACTGTTAAACTAACATCAAATAGTATGGTGGTACTTTCGAATGGTTCAAAACATTTAAAACTGTTTATTTAGAAATTCCTGGCACTGTTCTGTTGCCAAAAACTCAAACTTAAACTTAGATTTTGTGTCTAAGTCTTTGAAGTCAGATGCTAGAGTAGTGAATAGTGATCACTGCCCTTTCAGTGTGAGCATTTTAAAATATGGAAAACGACAGAATTGCCTGATGTAATGAGGTGTTCGTTAGTTAGAGTTTTGCATGAGATCTGAATACTTCAGTAGGACCGTACATTGTTCATCTACAGTAGTTACCATACAAAATCTGGCAGGATTTTAAAACTCAGTTACTCCATCTTTTCTGTGAGCTCCTGATTGTTTGGAAAAAGAACAGAAAAGGAAAAGAAACGATATTAACTGCAGACCAGTTGCTTCCCTAGAAAATTATAAAGGACTTGTAGTAGGCTCAGGTTTTTTAAGAAATACTGTTTCTTTCAGCTATTTCTTACCTACTTTCTTGCAGAGTAATGGCTTTATTGTTGATCATAGAAGCCAGGGATTGTAGCTCTGCCACTCAGAAACGGAGTGTCAGGACCGCTGCGCCTAGAGGCCAGGGTGGGCTGGGAGGGAGATCCGCGTGACCGGCACAGCAAAGTGATTCTTACAGAAAAAATGAAAAAAGTTGAGGCACAGTATAGTGCCTCACGGAGGAAAACCCTGCATGAACACAGTATGATTTTTTAAAATTTTTCTATATCACCAGACTTGGTTGTTTGTATTGCAAATATATAATAATATTAAGAGCTGATTTTTCCTATTTATAAATTATATGGAGAACATCAAAGAGCACATTTCTTCTGTGATAAAATAGATTAACCCCTATTATTAACCGGCTGTGAAAACTCCTTCCATGGGCCAGTAGGTTGTGCTGCAAGGTTTAGCCCTGAAAGCCCCGGAGCCTCCTGGACTCCAGCCACCAGCCGGCACCGTGTGCGGGTGTGTGCGGGTGTCTGCAGACCTCGGAAAGGGCGGCTGGAGGGGGTGTGGGGGAATGTCGGTCAGGACTTCACGGGGGGGGGGGGGGGGGGGGGTACTGGCTAAGTTTCTTAAGTGCTGGAAAGGTTCCTGAGGCACGCTCCCCTGACCAAAAAGTTCTGCCATGAATAAAGGTGCCTAAAATCCTGCTATTGAAGCTTCCTGTGTGTCAGAAGTGATTTGTTTGGTTTTTCACATTTTCAGATTAAAACACACATGCCATTTTAGATGATAAGCTGAAACCTCTGGGAGGATAACCAAAGGTGAGATGGGAAAGGGGGTGCGGGTGGGGACTGCTCTGTGAGAAGCCTCCGTGACTGTCCGCTTGACCTGACCCGGGTCCAAGGAGAGCTAGTGTTTTACATGTTCGAAAGGAAACCTTTTCCAAGCATGTGCCCCAGGACACTCGTCCTGGGGAAGTTCCAGAAAGTAAGGGTTTATGGTCACTTGGGTTTAGAAAATTTGCCTTGTGCCATAGTCACCTCATGAAAATTCACAGCACAAATTAGCATGTTGAAGGCTCTGAGGTCCCAGAGCAGAAAAAAGTGATTTCGTTTTCTCACCTGCCAGTTTCCAAGTTATTTGACCAAGGATCATTTTTTATACTTAGTACCTAATTAACATTTCACTGAACTAGTGTGGAGTGAAGTACCGCACACACCGGGAGACGGCCTTTAAAGTGGTCCAGTAGCGTGGGCTCCACTCGCGAATGAACGCCCGCGCTGCCGCTCCTGGGCCCACTCCAGGCAGAGCTCCCGTCTTTTATAAAACAGGCGTGTGACCCTGGCGAGGCCCCCCCATCTGTCCAGGTGGGTGGCTAGTCTTTGAGGTGAGAAGTGCCTCCTAAGCTACAATGACCCACACTGCCACTCCCTCTCGCCAGCCAGCCTTTCTGGAACAACCTGGGTCTTCCAAAGAAACGACTACCCCCCGCCAGGGTTGCACACACACACCCTCCTTATCCTATGGGCTCTGCTCCATGAAACTCCAGCCATGGCCTGTGTGTGTGCATCAGTGCCGCCCCTCTTGAGTCCTGGGTGTGATCTTTTTGTGCAGGAAAATGTCTGCCTCTCTTATTCCCCAACGAGTTGTTCATTTAAAGCAGGGGCATCAAACTCATTTTCACTGGGGGCCACATCAGCCTCGCAGTCGCCTTCAAAGGGCCGAATGTGAGTTTAGGACTGAATAAATGTAACTACTCCTTAACAGTTTAGCGAGAGCTCAGCACTGCCGCCCAGTAGAAACAAGGTGCCAGGCCTGATAAAACAAGGTGGAGGGCCGGGTTCAGCCCGCGGGCCTCGTGCTTGCCGCCTGCGATTTAAAGGCTGACGAAGAGCCTACTTCGAGCTAACAAATCCGGGTACTGTGATGGTGTCGCACCAAGCACAGCAGCCTTCTCTCTGATTAAATGCCCTCATCTCCCGGGCTCGGAGGCCTTCCCAGCTCCCTCATTTGACTTCTACTTCGTCCTGTTTTGCTTCAGGCCGCAGGATTCTAAACATTTTAATCTCACTTGCTGATCAGTTTTGTTTCTTTAGTGTTTTGTTTCTAGCAAAGTACCATCGTGTTTGACCTTATCAGAACAAACATACAATATTTCAGGAAATTAAAGATTAATTTGCCTTTGTGAGTCCTTGGAATCCTAACCGCACTTAAGCACTGTTGCTATGGAAACAGAGTCATCCAGTCAACTGAAAATGAACTTTTTTAACATCCTATTTGTACATTGAAGATTTTCCATATGGATAATTATGTTCCTATTTTTTTCATATTCAGTGTAGTTTATATGTTTTGGATTAAAATGGAGGCATTTGCACACTATGTTGTCATATCTAACCCTGAGAGTTTCCTAGCAACAGTTAACAATTGCACAGAGCACCATAGCATTTATTAAGAACACTGCTGCTGTTCTAAGCATTCTGTTTGCCTTATCGGGCCTAATCTGACAACCCCGTGTTAGGTTTGTGTCTGAACGGTCCCCATTTAAACAGAAGGAACCCAGGCTTGGGTTCCAGTGGGCCAGGGTCAGAACTAGCAGTAACAACTGACCACAGGGCTCTGAGAGCTAAGATTTCCAAATGCTTATGTCAATGCTTATGCAGAAGTCTTAAAACAGCACCCGTGTGGCAGCACCTGGAATCCTTGTCTCCCGTGAATGATGTTAAGTATCTGCTTTCAGCTTCAGCCTCTTTAAAACTCCTTTTCAATGAATGAAATGGCAGTGGGTCACGCGTCACTGCCCAAATCGAAAACCAGAAGGACTGTGATTGAGCATCGCATGCATTGACCCCACAAATCGCTGTGGAAATAGGAAAGGCGTTTGTTCTGCAAGTCAGGTTAACTGGTGAAAAAGAATCAGTTCTAATGCTTTGCCCTCACATGCTGGGGCTCTCACAGGAGAGGTGCCCGGAGGGTCCTCAGACACCTGCCAAGGTGAGGTTTGTATCTAACAGATACAGAACAGCAGATTCCATGTGTCCCTGGCCACCACTGGTGAGCTCATGTTTTGTTGCTCACTCCTTGAACAAGGCCGAAGACAGTGTACATATCACATAAGAAAATGACATGCATGTCACATAGGGGCTGCCCTGCTTTGTGGTCATAATCTTGGCAGTATATTAATACTTTCCTACTTTGTGGACACATTTTGACCAATTATTCCTATTGGTCAGTGGCAAAATGTCTGCCTTCCAAAGATGAACAGAATTAATTCCCAGTGGTTAAGGACAGCCTAGATTCAGGGTGGAGCCATTTGGAAGCATTTAGCACATCCCTGTCAGCACAAGGGGGTGCATTATTTCCCGAGGCAGAAGCCAGGAGGGAGGGCAGCTCCAGGGGAGGGGGCGGCACACCTCCAGAGACGTCAGGGACCCAGGTTCGGACCATCTTGATGCATCCCACGGAAAGATCGTCTTTCTCCTTCCCTTTGTCTCAAAGAAGGAAGAAAATGTTTTCCCAAAAGTATTCCCACTCACCTGATGGTGCCACAAACAGTCCTTGGCAAGGCACAGGCCTCCAGTGACATGCTGGGCCCTGTGACTCTCGCCCTTTGATTGTCAGTTACAACTTGGGGACTGACGGTGCTTCTGGCATCTGGCAGTGGGACCAAGGATGCTGCCGAACATCCTACTTTGCACAGGGCAGCTCCCACCACAAAGAATTCTCCTGGCCCAAGTGTCAGCAGTGCCCAGACGGAGACACCGCAGCCTCACCCATTCACGATTTAACCTGCGCCCAGGAGGAGGCCTCCTCGAATAGCTTCTGGACCCTCCGGGAGGGAAGGTAGAGACCAACAACACCAGATTTTATCAGAAAGGCAGCTACTGGGTGACAATGTACAGTGTCTGTCACAGACTCCGTAGATACAGCTTCTGGATTATGGATTGTAACAGTAGAGGTGGTTAAATAAGGAATTAGCTGGTTTTCACTCTTGGCTGCTCCTAGGAAACATTTCAAAACCTCAGGACCAGGCAGCCCCCAGACCTTCTGTATCCGGAATCCCTGCGGGTGGGCCCAGACAGGGAGGGCTATTTAAGCTTGCATGTGCATCCAGGCTGGGAACTGCCTTCCAAAGGGACTGTCTACAGCTGCTCATCGGTGACATAATTCTCCAAGCAAATTGGATGGGGTTCTGCCAACTTTCTGTGTCAATCCAGCTGACCCTCCCAGCTTACACAGTTGAAACAGCTCTCTTATCTGGCACTCAGTTCAATTCATGTGTCATTTTTGCTTTAACAACTGGATGGTGCCACCACTGTTGGAATATAAAGGATGTCATTCCCTGAGAGGTGATGTCTTGTTAACCAGGTTCAACTTCAGGTGAGCCTCACACCTCTGGTGGCCCGCCCTGCCACACGGGCACCGGCACAGGGCTGGGTGTTCTCCCCGCGTCATCTCGCTAACTGCCCAGACGGAACCCTGAGGGCCGCTGACGTCAGCAAGTCTTCCAGCTGGAGTTCTCCTCTCTCTCTTCAGCCTTCAAAAAGTCTCTTCTTCAGGTTGTCGAGGGACATGCATAAAGGGCACATGGACAAAGCCAAAGCAGGTAGGATGAGGGTAGGAGGTGCGGCTGGGCGGGGCTGGGGGGACGGGCTGGAGGTGGGGGCGGGGACAGAGGCAACTGTGCTTAAAGAACAGTAAAAAAATAAAATAAAATAACAGAAAAAAATCCCCTTCCCCAACCATTTGCCTCTTGCTTTTTACACATCTTTAGAAGTTGCCAACCCAGTGAGTATTTCCAGAAAGAAATGTTAAATATTAAATATCTTAAAGCTCAAGTCCTGTGGTTAAGAAGAAAACACAGTTAACGTTGATGGGCTGTAGGTAATCATCAGAAGAGTCATTTCTGGAAATGTAAATAACGTGGTTGTTTCTTTCAATGATGCCTTCACCTCCTCCTGGGAATATGAGAAGACTGCTTGATTGATTCTGCTCCAAAATCCTACTGCTTTCCAAGGGAGCAAAGGATGAGCCCAAGTAATTTGTGAAACAGAAGCCGGGGGCTGGCCTGGCACCTGGACCACAAGGCTGGAAAGGCTGCCACGCCATGTCCTCAGAAGGAATCCGTCTCGCCCCCTGATGGGCCGGCAAAGCTGCTGCAAGCCCAGCTCACGCTCCTCAGCTGGAACCTGTGTTTGCTGGGCCCTTGATGAACCGCAAAGATTCTTTGGAAACCAGCTGTCAAATCTATGCTGACTTGCTAGCAGAATTTTAAAAAGAAGGTCGTCCTCAGGGCCTGCGAGCCCTCGCCACCTCGTCAGGTGGCCCGACCTCCTGTCAGAACCCTTTGCCTACGGCATCGATGATGTGAAACGGGCGGTGTGTGCCGGCCTCTTCAAAGGGGAGTACCATCAGATTCTTTCAGTGGGCCGAGCTCATTGTCTCCAGGAGGCTGCACGTGATCTGTGGCGCGACCTTGTCCTCCCCACAGTGAAAAGCAGACCCGGTGGGACCCCCTGGCCCAGCAAAGCCAGTGTTTCTGGAATCACTGACGGAGAAAATTCACCGCACTCTGAACTCTGCCAGAAATTCCTCAGGTTTATTCAGTTAATCTCTGTTCCAGCACAATTCTGAACACGATTGACCAGTAATGCTTTAACAAGCGACTGTTTGGCAAGTCAAAACGTAAAGAATCTCTTTTTGTACTAAGCAATAAAATAAACTGGGTAAGAGTTCTTTGACACTAAAGCGACGTGGTGACTTGTCTGCTTTACGCCGTATTTAACAGCGTTGAGATGTCACGAGGGCGGTCCCCCGGGAAGCAACACCGCTCTCTTCTGGATTTTGTAACTTCTTCACAGGCCCGTGTATTTGGTGTTGGTTCTGAAAGGTTTGCCAGGGCATCTGGCCAGAACTACTCAAGTTCTAACAAAATGCATTCTTCCACATTCTGCGGATATCTATTTTCCATATTCTGGTCTGAAGAAAAGGTATAGACTCTGCCTTGGATGTAAATAAAACACACATAGAGAGAGTAATTTTTCCTCAAGAAAAAAAATCTGTATTCCAGAACAATCATTTGTTCAACCAAACCACCTTGTGGCAGTGGTTCTTAAGACGTGGTGCCCAGGGTGGCGGCGGCAGCAGCCCCCGGAAACGGTTAGAAATGCAGAGTCCCAGGCCCCTCCCAGCCCCACTGACTCGGAGACCCTGGGGCGGGGCCCAGAAGCCTGAGCTTTCACACACCCTGCAGGGGCGTCCTTCTCGAGTGTGAGAACCGGGGCCTTAGCTGTCAACATTGGTTGTCCAGTAACTTTGAGGGTAAGACTCGTCCGAACATAAGAAGCCCCCTGGGCAGCGAATGGCAGGTTGACATGCAGATTCCTGGGATCTTCTTTTCATATCCTGACCCAGTGCAGAAAGGGGAGGGCCTGGGGGCCACGTTTTCCCCAACGCCCCATCTATCACTGTTACATATCACCTCCCACTCAGGGAAACATCGCATAGAGCAATGAGAGGGCGCGGAAGATATTCTCCTGCTGACTCACTCATGCCTGGGCCAGTGCTAAGGTAATTTAATGGGAATTGATTCTTAATTGCCCAGAACACCCGAGCGCTGGGCTGGAGCACGACCTTTTCAGCCCCGTGAAATGAGGGGCCTGCCCTGCAGCCCGAGCAGTCGAGCAGCCTGGAGAGCCCTCGCTACACACAGATTCGAAACACTTCAAATCGATTGGCTTCTTATTAAAGTGTACTTCAATAAAAATAATTTCAACTCTTTTCACTTTTAATTTCACCTCTTTCCAGAGCAGAGGAAGGATGGAGCTCATTTTGACCCTGATTAATCTCGACTCTTAAGCCACAAAAGGATATCCAATCCTTCAAGCCGTCTGAGTGTTTCAGTTGATTAAAAGGGTTTTAAAGAGCACGGTAAATATTTTACCAGGAGGGTAAGTTATCCAATAAGAATTAACTTATTAAAAACTAGTAACTTATTAGTTCGTTTATCTTTATTTTCACGGAAGTGCATTGTTTTCATCTGAGTGATTTTTTTTCTAGTCCCACATCAGGTTAACCTAGGAGTTGATAATTCTGTAATATGTAAATGTATTGAAATATAATTTAACTTGTGAAAGTAACAAGATTTACTAATAACAAGAAAAAACGCCGTAAGGTTATATTTCAAAAGAACATTTGGAGGACTTTAAGCATAGTCATAGGTACTTAAAAAGAAATCATGTGTGCTGCTTTTAAAAAAGAACAAGTTTCTCATTTATCTTTTGAGTCATCCATCCTAAAGGAAATAACTAATGCATGGCTTTCTTCTTCCTCTTTTTTGGTAGAAAAGAAAGCATTTAAGGCTTAAGCCCAAAACCAAGGCACTGAGTTCAAGTATTTATGGTCAAATACTTTATTTCGGTAATAAAAAAAATTAGAATACTTTCAGTTGTAAGCAATGACTAAACATGGCTTCAATAGTAGGAATAATTAATGACCTTATAAAATGCAAAGTCAGGATGTAGGCAGTTCCGGGGGTGCTTAAGTTTCCAGTTTCACTCCATCCCGACTCCAGACTGGCTTCTCCGTTTCCCATGCCTTTCCCCTCATCCTCATACGGATCTTCAACCACCACATCTGAGGAGCAACCCAGCACCACTCCTAAAGCCCTTTCTCCCTGTCCGCCTCTGTCATGGGTTGAAGTTGTGTCCTCCCAAAAGATACAATGAAGTCCTAACCTGTGAAGGTGACCTTCTCTGGAAACAGTCTTTACAGAGGGAACAGAGCTAAGATGAGGTCATTCGGGGTTCCGATGGGCCCTAATCAACAACTGGGATCCTCTAAAGAAGAAGAGAAGAGACCCCTGACCGACCGACACAGGGAGAGCAAGCACCACACGTCAACGGGGGCTGAGGCTGAACTGCTGGGTTTCCCAGCCAAGGGACACCAAGCATGGCTAGCAGCACCAGAAGCTGGGAGACAGGCAAGGACCAGATTCTCCCTCACAGCCTCTGAAAAGGAACCAACCCTGCTGACACATCGACTTTGGACTTTCGGCCTCTGGAGCTGTGAGGGAAGCACCTCTGTTTGCTCAGCCCCTGAGGCCATGATCACTGCTGTGGTGATCTCAGGAGCTAACCCAGCCTCCGACACAGAAGCCGGAAAGCCAAATGTGCACTTCTCCAGCTTCCGACTCCTACTTGCTGGTCTCCCTAGAGACTGTCACATTTTGGGAAGTGGTTAGAGTGTCCAGTTCCCCATCCACATGTCCTTGGCACCCCCCCAACTCCACCCAGCCGCTGGGGCCCAGTCTGTCCTTGCTTTGGGGAAGCAGCTAGCTTCTGCACAGTCGCTTCTCTCCTTCCATCCTGACGCACACTCTCAGGTCACCTTGACCTGTGCTTGGCCTGCTGTTTGTCCCTGACCCTGGGCGCCCTTCCTTTTCCCAGTCCTCATTAACTCATTCGGACTATCGCAGGGTGACTGGCTTCGCATTTTACAGCTGGCTTTTTAAAAGAACTCATAACTGGTATATCAAGGGTTGATTCAGTTTGCAGAAACTAGGATTTTTTTTAATAAGCAAGTAAATTGGGAATTAAATTAGGTCTAAAATTCATTTGAGGCTTCTGACAACTTGTTTGTGGGAAGTAATTGCTCTGGTGCTAGCGAATTTAGCAATCAAATAGAAGCTTAAGAAAAACTGAGCATTGCAAAAAGAAGGAAATAATAAATTTGAATTAAGCGTTCATTCTCCCAAATGTTTATTTACAAAGATTTTCAAACATACGGCCAAACCGGAAGAATTTCTCCAGGGAGCGCCCGTGGGCCCCGCCCAGGCTCTGCGGTGAACACGGGGTGACTGCAGCAGAACGAGCTCAGCGGCCCTCTGGTTCCAGTCTGCTCTAACCTGCCCAGTCCCCAGAACGCCCCTGGCATTACCGGCTTCTGCCCCCTGGTTCAAATAGGGGAACAGGAAGCATCCCAAGTGACTGGGCCAGCCCCTTATGGGGGGCAGACAGGATCTACCCTTCAGTCACCATAGGGGGCGCAGAGACATGGTTTGTTATCTGCATCTCCAACAGTGTTTGGCGCGGGAGCCAAATTTTCCACCCAGGGCATTTCCCACATCCCCGATGCTCAGGGTCAGCGGACTGATTTTTAGTGGATGCATAATCCTTTGTTCACCTCAGGTTTCTTTCATTGGAAAAACAATAATCCTTCCTATAGAGAGGACCCTCTCCGCAGGACTGAACGTTCCACTTCCACCTTTTCCGCGCATCCTCCCTCCTGGGCTGATATACAGACTCTCATGAACATGATGCTCAGGGACAAAAGAAGCACGGGCATCGATAAAGCTAGAGGGGAAGCACATCAGCTTCATCTGGCAGATCCTGATGCAGCCCCAGGAGCTCACCAGTCAAACCAGCCTGGGACCCAAAGATGAGGGAGTGCCCAGACTAGCGCATCTCAGGACATGCCTCTCAGCCGGTCTGTGAAAAGGGGAACTTACACAAGAGTTTGAAGAAGGTTTGGTAGATACAGCAAAAGCCTGATGAGGATCCGCCAGAATTCCCAGAAAGGATTCCCCAAGTTACAGGCGCTACTTTAGTGCTGACCCAGAGGCCCCCGAGGATGTCAGGATGGCAAATGCCACTTTCAGGACAAAGTGCACCTGATATCAGGAGAAAACGACACAAATTGGATGAAGCTTTTGCCATAAACCCTTCTCAGTTGGCAAATATTGCTCTTAAGGTCTTTAATGAGAAGGAACGGAAATGAAGGAAGATGAAAGGAAGGGCACCACCTTCTTAGACCCTCCTCGTACGGACCTCTGGTTAGAAAACCCCTGGCTCGCCTTCCCCGAGGGGATAATCTTAATTTGCAGAATATGACCGGAGTCTTATGTGCTCCCATGGGTTACATTTTTGGTTGTGGATCCCAAAACGAGGTGTGGGCCTGAAACTGTCTTGACAGCTGGTGTCCAAGCAGAACCTGCCCATTCAACTACTTAATAACTCCATTCTCTGTCCATAATGTTTCAGAAACTGTCCATTGGGTGAGTTCCCTGATGCCATTCACTAGGATTGCTGATCATCTCCCTGGTAGAATAATACCTGATAGAGATGGTTATGTCTGTGGTTACATCCTCTCCCCTTGGTTGTGTCTGGCAGCTCATCAGTATGTACTTAGGGCCCTGTCTCATGTGGCTCAGTGGATTGAGTGCTGGCCTGTGAACCAGAAGGTTGCCTGTTCCATTCCCATTCAAGGGACATGCCTGGGCTGCAGGCCAAGTCCCCAGTAGGGGGCCTGCAAGAGGCAACCACACATTGATGTTTCTCTCCCTCTCTTTCTCCCTCCCTTCCCCTCTCTATTTTTTAAAATATATTTTTTTAAATATTTAAAAATATTTTTAAAAATATGTAGTTAGGAGCCTATCAAAAACCTTTGATACTATTGTAGATGAAGCAGCTACTGCCCTTATTGGGCTGCAAACATCCTTAGTCACTCTTGCTCAAGTTGTACTTTAAGATCGTATAGCCTTGCTGAACAGAGCGGACTATCTATGGTTGCTAATACTACTTGCTGCACCTATATAAACTCCTCCTCTGAGGTAGAGAACTATATTGCAAAACTCAGACAACAAGCTACTCAGTTCCAACAAACCTTAGAACATCGGAGCGGAATAAGTGTAGTCAGACTGCGAGACTGGTCCTCAGGCCTCTCTCATGGATCCTGAATAGGTACATTCAATAGGTGGTATTCTCAGGTCAGGTCCCACTATCCTACTTAGAGTTCTGATGCCCTACATGTTATTCAGAATAATTAGGTACTGTATATTTAAGGGTAGTGCTAACATGGCTAAGACTCCCAAGATAAAAAATCCTAAACCCCTATGCCTAAGAGGGGCACTAAGGAATCTTTCATACATCAGGTCAAATGGTTCCATTCCCCAAAATTGCCCCACCACCCCGATCAGCAGGAAGTAACCCCACAGGATTGTGGGATGGACTAATTGACAGCTGGGAATTACAATAGAAAAAATTGCCAAATTAGTCAAATTTCTTTGACTGCCCTGATAAGCTCCTGACTCATTTCTGCGAAGGGGATAGTATTTACCTCCAGGGTCACAGTGCAGATCACCAGAACACCACAAACGTGGAGTGCTTAGGGCGGGGCTTGCAAAACCACTGACCAGGTAAAGGGGTGGGGGGAGAGAAGAGGGGAAAGGAGGTAGTGTGAGTGGAGGCACCATCTCCACCTGCAAATTTAAAGTTGAAAGCTGTCCATGTAGCATGGCGTCCTGCCCCTCTAGGAGTGTCCCCAGACTTTGAGATGTGGCCACCAGAGGGCAGCTTCGTGCAACTAAGGCCCCAGGAGTCAGAGAAGCCCCTAAACTCAAGGGCATCCTTGGCAAGAAGGCATGGCAGGGAGCCGTAATTTCCTCCTGATTCTGAAAACTAAAGCAAGCACAGCCCCCAAACAATCCCAAACAGTGCTCTTCAACATGAGACTAAGATGATAAATAGATTAAAGCAAAAGGCACGGACAACAGTGTGGTGATTGGGGGAGGGGGAGGCAGAAGAGAGTATAAGGGTTAGGGTTGGGGTTGGGGTTATGGTAATGGGAAAGATACAATAAAAATAAACTATTTATTTTTAAAAGACACCCGCCCCACATGCAATAAAGAGGCAGCCTGAAGTAGTCACTGCCTGGGGCCTGTAACCCGATTCCTTCCACCCCGTCTGCAGGATGGTTTCCCGACACTGGA